GAGAGAAAACTGACATGCAAAAATAATCTTATAAAAGGAAAAAACTCGAAATTACCACTAAAGAATAGCCACAAAAAACTATTCTCAGAAAAAGGACAGTCCCCCACCCCCCTCCTCCGTGCACTTTGGGCCTGTATTATATCCTATTTTCCCATTTGTACTGAGCAGCTGAACTTAAACGAATGTATAAACCAACGAACATATACTAACAAAAACTCGGAATGTACAAGTTCTCACTTCATCAAATCTTAAAAAGGACACAAAACATGATCTTTTCCCAACAATGCTATTTCCCCTTTCGTCTCTAAATAGTTACATACGAGCATTCTGTAACTTTTTGAAAGCTTGGTTTGTATTGTTTTTTTGTTTTTTGTTTTTTTTTTAAGTTTTCAAGGTCGCATATTTCATTTCATGACAACTTAACATGAAAATTCCGGGTTCAATTATTCAGTAATTGAAGAATTTGTTACCCCATGTTTAATATCAACCACTCAATACAATTCTTGAAGAAAAAAATTATTTACAAAGAAACAAACATAATTCTGTAGTTTAGACCTCTTTTTCAAGTCTACAGAACCCGACTTGTATAAAGCAAAGGCACATTCAGTATGCATGTCCATTTCCTCCAATCGAACACCACTGACCGACATTTTTTTCACCGATTAATTTTGTTTTTTTAGGGGGGGGGGGGGGTGACTACCTTTTATTAGTACCGTCATAAGGCTCAGAGACATTTAATTGCATTATCAATTAATAAATTTGATTTCTTACTAAACTATTTACCTTCTACTTATTCAATTCCAATGCTCCTTCCTGTTACAGCGAAAGCAATTTCCGGGCAATTTAACCAGGAAATTGATGTGAGCACGCTTAGGCCGCATGTTTTTCCCGTGGTTTACATACCTCTTCGTCTTGGCCTCTTTGATTCCCTTCGCAGGTCGAAACTGGGCTGTCTATAATTTCTGCCACTTTCCGTCGACGTCCTAGTCTATTTTTGTTAATAATTACTTCCTCGTCTGCTTACTTAATAAAATAATATAAACATCTATTTCGATAATGACTTTTTAAAGGGGGTTCGATCTTATTGCAACAAAAGAAGGGGTAGGGGAGCAACTGCCCTTTCCGTGACTGAGCATTTTACTAAACGGCAAAAACTTAAATTCGGAAAAGGGGAACACCCTCCCGTCTCACCCTAGCTGATCCTACGTGCCTGAATATATTATATTATTGACCCAGCAGCAAATTCACAAGAGGGCGGGTGGGCAGTTTAGGTTTTTTATATCATCTTATGATGTTTGTTTATTTATTTTATTTTATTTTTTTGTTTTTTGTTTGTTTGTTTTTTTCCCTGTCCGAAAATTTCTGAGTTGAATTCTTAAAGTGGCTATGGACAGAGCTTCCCCTCACCCCCAAGCCCCGGGAAAAAAATTCCTGGATCCGCGCATTAGGATGAAAATTACCTCCCCCGAAAAGTAAAAAAAAAATTCAAATAATGAAAATTTTGCTCAACATCAAATTAAAATTCTCTCATTTTTCTATCATTTTTTCTTAAATTCATTTATGAGTGAGGATCGTTTTGATGCGATGTTCAAAATGGCTTCTGAACGGATTTTTCTCGGGGACGGGTGAGATTCACTCCGGAAATGAAGAAGCGCATGCGCTAAATTTTCACTATAAACAAGTGTATTTTGGAGCAACTCAACTATTTCCGAATTGTGACACTTGCGTAAAAAGAAAAATATTTAACTGAAGAAAAAATACAGGTATTTTATTATCCAAAAAACGGTCGACACCTACCTAAATCAACTCTGTATTATTGGGGGGGGGGTATTCATTTTCAGCCAGAAACGACTTCCAAAATATTCAGAGTCAGCTTAATTATTTATGCTTTATTAAAATAAATAAACAACTAAAATAAATGATAAATAAATAATTAAAATAATTTAATAATAATTATATAATTTTTAAAAAGGTGAAAACAACTCAATTTTGCGGTGTGTGTGGTGATTTAGGGGTGGGTTTCAGGGGTTCGGATGAATGAGGATATTAATTATAAATAACAACAGACAACAATAAAATATTCTCTTGACAGTTGAGGAGGAAAAATTTTTTTTTTTTTTTGGATATATTATACATTTCCAGAGTCTTACAGCACGTCCCCATCCCTCCTGCCATTTTATAGTTCTCTCTATACAAACAGTGAAATTCAATATGCCAAATCATGTACATTTTATTGACCTCTCAACAGCTGCTCAAAGACATTGTAGATTGTAAGTTGCATCTTGAAAGACAAATACATGGCAAATGTCATGGTAAATGCATTTTATTTTAGCCATGTGTAAGCATGATTGTATACATGCATGCAGAGACCAGGGACCCATATACTTAGTATAAAAAAACGTCTGACCCCCCCCCCCCTTTTTTTTTTTGCTTGTCAAGGAATTTTTGGTAGTTGATGACATTTTATTTATTTTATATATAAACATTTTTTTTGGCTTGTCAGGAAATTTTTCGTAGCGCCCTCTGAACTGTCAATTGAAAATGTATGGTCGTCCCCCCCCTCCCCAAACTGAGATTTGCTTCCTACGGGCCTGAATATATCGGTTAAATATTTAGCCTAAACTACATGTACAATAGGATTCCATGGAAGTATTAACTTTGCGTTAAAACAATAAATATTAATATATTGTCTTTTATTTTCTAAACAAAAGCTAAATGACAATATTTATATTTTGCAAGAAAATGAATGAAATATTTTGTAAAACTCGGAGCTTCTGGGCCCTCACCAGCAGGAACGTAGTATCGGGGGGGGGGGGGGGGAGGGGGGTGGCTTGCCCCAACTTATTTCCATACCTAACATTTTACTATTGAAAATGTTTATTGAAAGAGTGCCCCCCTTTTTGTTGTAGTATATTAAATCATGGTAATTTGGTAATGTATTGATAAAATTTTGATTTGTGAAAGTTGGAAAATAGCTAGGTCTTTATCCTTACCTTAAAAAAATAATTTAGAGGAAATTTTCAAACTTCTGTCATATGAAATTCATCATGAACATATAACCCAATTGCTATATATCTCACCTGAGCCAACTTGGTTGCAGTACTTCAACAGTGTTCAAAAGAAAACTTTTAAGGATTTTCTCATGTATTATTAAAAAAAATACCCTTTCTGTCAACTTTAAAATAATGTTTCATTGCCCTATCCCAACTCAGGATGAAGAAAAAGTAGGTTGGTAGGTAGGTGACAAAATCTTTTTACCAGAAAATTTGAAAAATTAATGCTCAATTTTCAAAATCTTTTTTCCAAATTCCAGAAAAAATTGTTTCCTTGAAGTTAAAAAAAAAAGTTCAGGGGGGGGGGGCAATTTTTAGCCAGTCAGTCGAGAGAGGGCAACCAAACAATTTTTTAAAGATGGGCTTATGGCCCCACCAATCAGGAGGGACTATGACTAAACAAAACTTGAATATAACCATACAAGAGGATATGCTGAAATATCTACAACTGACTGTGAACCTGCTGATCACAAGTAATTTAAATATGGCAATATGTTTCAGACTTTCATTTGTTAAAAATTTAACATTTGAACATCTATGTGAAAATTTCAAATTATAAATAGTAAACATTGGGCTTTACACTTTTGCACAAGCAGCATATCAAATTAATTTATCTTAAAAAATAAATGACAATAAGCATAGTTTGATTTTATTTATATATTTTTATTAAGTCAATGTATATACTCAGTATAAAAACCCATTTCATACACCTTCAAAATAGTTTTATTCTTATAATTAGAGTAACAATTAACTGTACTTGTGATATTACCTTACCAGTATAAGATCCGGGGTAGATCCGGGGCAGATTGAATATAATTTTAATTAAATGATTTTGTCACATATATTTTTTTACTTTAATTAAATTGTGCTGCATCTTCTTTGACTGCTAAATTGCAAGGAAGAATGAGTGTCTTCCTTTGAAAACACAGCTGATCGACATGCTCAGTAAATCTTAAAGACTTACAAGATGCTTTAGATTTAATCTTGTCAGAATGTCCAATCCTACTCTGCTTTGTAAAGAACTCCAAATTGCTTGCTTTGTGTACATTTATTATTGACTTGTTTGAAAATTTCAAGTTTGTAATGCTTTAAGTGTGCCCTAACAAAAGCACATGTGAAAAAAAATCATATTTATACAAATCAAAAGTATAAACTCAAAAGAAATGTGTCAGCTAGTATTTAAACAAATGAATTAATAACATTTACTTACTAATAGAAGTCTGGTAAATTAATATAATGTGTATGTTTTTTTTGTTTTTGATCACCAATGGAAATGAAATAATAAACGAAATTGAAATTGAGCATTTCTCTAAATCCAATTTAAACCTGCAAATGATATATCATGTTCAGCATTTCAAGACTCTCCCCAAGACCCACATGGCACTGCCAGCATTTTTTTTTACTTTAAAATCTTTACCATAACATATTACATGTCTGGATTTTGACAAATAAAAAAATAAGCATTTAAACTTTAAAATATTATGCTTATTCTGCCAAGTGAGTTTCTGCCCTATATGCATGAATGCATCAACTGCAACCTTGATTGCATAAGTGTAAAGATATCATAATTGTTAAAATATGTACTTTAATTAAATTTAATTTTTATAGTATATAATCTGATACATTCATACATACATTTATGCACATGTATTAAGTTTATCCTGCATTTGTTTAGAACAGTGTATGCCTATGGTATCATTTTATTCAATAAGACTTTCAAATTACATACAATAAATGCCTCTGGGTCATTAACAAAGTTTGTAAATGATCTAAGTATAGACAGGTCATAACATATGAAATATAAAAGTGACTTTAATACCAGATATAGTCAAATACATGTATATCATCAGTTTAAATTCTTATCTTCTGAAATAAGTAAAATTAAATATATTACTAGATATTTAGTAAAGGAAAAAAAGATTAATTATTTAGACAGATGTGGAGAACAATCAAGTAAATTGATCTGCATCTTTTTTGTAATTATTCATATTTTAGGAAGCAGGATAAAATGCACGAAAAACAACAATACACAAGAAGGCTAAACTTAGAGAAAAAGTTACAGAATCTTTAAAGTTTTTAAGTTATTTATCAGAATATAATTCATTTGGTATGAAAATGTACCTAACTGGTATGAAAGCCTCCGTGCCATTTGTTTATCAATTAACACATGTACAAGTAACTTTTCAACTGTCCGGGCTTCATCAGTTGGGAAACAGTTAAATTTTTTTTTTTAAATAATTTTTTTTAAACAAAGAACCTGCATGCATGCAACAAAAGTACAAAAACAACAAAAAAAAAAAACAAAAAAAACAACAAAAAACAAAAAAACAGAATATGGAGGCCCATGGACCAAATCTCTCACCTGAGTCATATTAGACCCATTATTTTGAAAACCGCAGGATGTAAAATATCTCCCTCCTTATTCACATAAACAAATTTCCTATAGGGTGACCTTACTTTAGCCCAAAGAACTTATGATTTAACTAAACTTGAATCAAGTCATAATGGGAACACTTCATTATCAATATGACTACGGGTAAATATTGGTAAAAATATTACTAAAATTACCTTTCTATTCTGGAGAAAGGAATGTTTTTAAAAGATTTTATTCAATTTGATACCCAATTTTAGCCCCATCCCTATCCTTGGATCCATCGTAGGGCCCTAAGAATCACCTGAGTGTTTCATTACCATAAGTGAAAAATTAAACTACATTATGAATTGTGTCTTTTCCCAGCATCAGAAACCCTGAACCTGTGGTTATGAATTTCATACATGTGATTAACAACACCTTTTCTCATTACAACTCTTTACTTAGTTTGCCTGCTAAATGCCTATGGAACAAAGAAGATTTTCAATGATTTAATGCATATTCACTATATGATCATTAGGAGCCACATCTTAAGACCTGTCCTTTCTATTTTTGTTTTTTCTTGATTGTCTCTGCTTCCAAGAAGATGTGACCCTTTAGGAACAAAGTTAACCCCATTTACTCAAGGATGATTTGTGCCAAGTTTGGTTGAAATTTTCCAGTTGTTCTGGAGAAGAGGTCAAAAATGTGAAAAGTCTACAATGACGACAATAGACACATTTCAATCAGAAAAGCTCTCTTCAACCTTTGGCTTATGTGAACTAAAAACAAATGAAAGCTATAATGCTTAAAATATGCTTTTAACATGTAAACTTGAGCTAAGTTCTCTCTGAACTACATAAGTCAGGATATGGAAATTTGATATACATTGGCAATAATCTGAACAAAGGAAAGGAACTTCTTGTCACCTGAACAAAGGACTTGATCCTGAGATGGAGATAAATTTCCATAGGCACTGCCAGTTAAACAGGAAACCTAATGACACTTGAGCACTGGCCTAAGGCAAAAGCCTATCTACCATTGCCAATCTGCTACTGGACTGACTTTATGCTCAAAGTGAAACAGGTCCCTTTTCTGGCTCTCTGTGGATTTGTATTCCTATGGCGTGTGGCTCCAATTCTCAGCTGGAAATCAAACCTAATGACACTTGAGCACTGGCCTAAGGCAAAAAGCCTATCTACCATTGCCAATCTGCTACTGGACTGACTTTATGCACAAGTGAAATAGGTCTGTTTCCAGGTGTCTCTGTCTTTGCACACATGAAAAGATAAGAAAAAATATTAAAGCACCAATCACCCTCATTAATTGCTATAGAAATGAATCATCTTTATGAGTTCTTGAATGAATTATCCAACATAGATTTAAATACTACAGGAAATGCTAATCAGAAAATGTCTGAAATTAAGCATTCAAATTATTCTAGACTGTATATTTTGCTCTTTCATAACATGACTTGATGTTCAATTAATCAAGAATTCTTCTGCTTGAAGCTTTTTCCATCAATATAACCTAATTTGAGATTAAATTTATACAGAAAAATCATAAATTTGCCAAGCACTTCATGTTTTTGAATAAGAGTCTCAGTGAAGATTGTTATTTGTATCAGTGACTCCTTTAGTGAATATCAAGACTTGAGTTTTCCCATCCTTTGTCTTCACTTTGATCCTCCTCCCAATCAGTGATGGTGGCACTCTCATCCATGGCTGCAATCCCAACTGACCATTTACTCTGCAACAAGACCCTATACATATTGTATACATCCATTTATGCTGAACTTATGATGCAATATTTTATTAGTTCTGTACTTTATTAATTTTGTACTTTTATAATAAAACATCTGTACATGTGTAAAAATCTAAAAAAAATAAAATGTAAAGACTTACTCAAACAATGGCTGTTCTGGTGTGCTAGGCAGCTGTGTTGAGGTGGAAGGGGTACGCACCAATCTCAAAGGAGGGTATGGGGCAACTGATGGTAACGTGTGTACAGGTGCTACAGTTTCTTCCAAAGGTGGTTGTGGCATGTCTTGATGACTCAACAGATGCTCTTTTTCCTCTTCAGTTGGTTTTCTCAATGGAACTTTTTTAGGTCTCCCTTTTTTCTTTTCTGTAGTATGAAATCTAGGTTGTAAGATATTATTGGCATTGCCTGAAACTTTCTCAGTCTCCTTGAGCTTTCCTGTGTCTTCTGAAAGGTTGATACATGCATCATTACCAGCAGCTATTGCTTGAAATGTCTGAAGTATAGTTTGAAATCTCATTTCCCTGATCTTTGGATGTTCCAACTGACTATCAATCTGCTGCATCAGTTTTTTTATCTGATTATATTGAGTTTCTGGATCAACGGGGGTATTCTGGGACTGAGAAGAGTCTTGCTGTGGGTTGACAAATAGTGTCTCATCAGATTCCCCACATTCATCCCCATTTCTGTAGCTTGTACAAATGCTATGCACCTTATGAATGTGTTTGCATAAATAGCCATTTTCATAGTCAGGGCAGTTGCATTTATATAAGTGGTAACATAAATCAATGCAAGGTATTTCCTTGCATTTAACATAACAATGCTCTAAATTACAATACCTATTCCAAATTTCAACTATATATTGCCTTTCCCTGGATTCTACAATAAAAAATCTCTCAGAAATTTGCTTTATTTCCCTGTCATGAATATGTAGACTACTTTCATGCCTCTTTTGTGTATCCGAATCCTCTTTGGAAGGTAGATTATAAGAGACTCTCTTGAAATAATTGATAAATAAGTTATTCTCCAACTTCAACAAAGTTTCCAATAAGACATCAATTCTTTTGTTTCTTTTACCCTCAAAATAAACAGTTTTCAGTTGGTTATGAAAACTTTCGATGAACATGTTTGTATCAACCTTACAGTATTCACCTTTCCTGAAACACTTTGCCCATTTCTCTGCTCTGCAAAAATAATTATCTTCCACATATTTCAAAAAAGTTGGATTTAGTGATTGCAGTTTGGCAACAAAAGCAGATTTGTATTGAAGAAACTGGCTCTCAGATTTCGCTTCCAACATAGCACATAGAAAACTAAAAACAATACTTTTGTGTTCATCATCTCTAAAGTAGTGTTGAACATTACGTGTCCATGACCTATAAATATGCCAAGTGCACAAATAATGTTGTAATTTGTCCCCAAAAGTAGACCTTGCAGCATTCCATCCTGCATTGTCATCATCTGTCATTAAGATTTGAACCTTTGTTTCAGGTGACCTTGACTTTACAGAATTTAAAAATAAAGCAATGGCTGTTTCGTCCTCCCTATTAGAAATGCAGAATGCCACTGGGTATCCTTTCCTAAACTGATCAGGAACCAAAAGTGTTATCAATTTAAATGAATAGCTATTTGTTTTATGTGTTGAATCCATGCATAATATTCTATTGGCAAACTTTTGGTAAATCTCCAGTTGCTGTTTTGTCATGAAAGCAAGCATAAAGTCCTCTTTGCTCAGTCCTGGTGTTATTGATGGATTATTATCGACATCCTGCTGCTTGAAAATTAAAATTGGATTAAATTTTTCCCTTTTCAGCATTTCAACTTTTAAATAAGTAGAAATTGCATCATTGGTATGTTGTATAATTGATGGATCTGCCAATTTCCTTTTCAAGTTGTGAATTGTTTTCCGATCAATTAAATTGTAATACTTGATATCCTCTAGGTTGTCCCGGTTATCCCTGTCAGAAAATTTCTCTCGAATTTTGTCCAAAATGTTGTTGATTGGTATTTTTAAGGACAGCATACCTAAAATTTCTGATTTTACACTTTCCGGAATGGACAAGAATTTGCTTTGTTCAAAGGACAATGAATGAGTATGAGATTTTATATACCTTACAAAGACCTTTCCATCATCCCTTTCACGCACGGAAAACTTTGCTGGACAAATGCTATTCAACTGGCACTTCCCCTTAATATTTTTCTTGGAAGATTTTACTTGATATCCCTTTTTTTTATGTGACCTTGTACAGCCATTTCTATGGCATTCAAGAGAGTACACTCTCTCTTTCTTTTTGTTCTGCTGCACCTTATTCCTTAACACATAACGTGTGTTTAATGATATTTCCTCCTGTTCTTTAAATTTATTAAAATCCTCCTTAGTTTCAAAAACTAGATTTTCTGTTAAAATATTTGCCCCATGTGCCTGAATTTCATGCTCAACTAACTGCTCTTTTGTTCTAAATTGCAAGAAGCATGTTGATGCCATGCATGGATACAAATCCTTTCCTGACTTTTTCAGAATTCTCTGATGGTGTTTAGCCTTGTGCTTTCCAAGTGTGACAGAATTGAAAAATGAAACTTTGCATTCTGAACACACATATTTTTTCTCTGGTAATGGTTGTACAGGCAGTTCTGGCTTGGTATAGCTATGTAGCTCTGATATATGACCTTTCCCTGAAGCTGCAGACTTTTCATAAGAATGCATTCCTCTTAAACCATATTTCTTTTTACCTAAATGTGTCACATCTACTGGCTTGGAAAAAGGGTTACTTGTTCTCCACGGTTTTGTGTGAAGGTTGTTCTCATTGCCAATAACAGGATTATACATGGGTGGAGCTGAAGCCTCCTGAACTTCCATGTCTCCAACTGCTTCATAATGACCTCCACCAAATCTACTCCATATTATATGAATCTGGTTTTGTGTGGGATTGGCAGTGAAAGTATTTTCCATGGTTATGACTTCAGAGGAGGACTCATCTCCACCAACCGTAACCAGAATGTTGAGATTTAAAGCTTTTGCCAATGCATATATACATTCCTGTCCTGCATATGTACCAAGTTGACTTAATCTTTGAATTTGTTCTAAAGGGGTTCCTCTGTCTGATAAAAAATGATCTGAAAACTCTCCAAGATTGGCTCTTAAAGTTTCAATAGCTAAATTTCTGAGATATGCATGACTATCCTGATGACCGTAGAGAGAGAAACTAATAGCTCTAAACAAACAATTTCCATCGCCTTCAATTGGAATACGATGGAGTCCAAATCTAGAGAGATACCTATTCTGACGCTGAACCTCCGTGTCCATCATGTAGTGTGCATTAATTATGTCATTAAAATTGAAGCCCTAAGATTGTAAGTTTTCATCAATAATTAAACAGTTGTAATTTTGCATCCACAACAAGAAGTCTGTGAGCCAATGCTCAATAGTTACATACCCCTGCACTGATGTGAATATACACTCTCATGTTGATACATGTTGATGTTGATATTGATACTGACAAATGCATGGATAAACAGGAAGTTGACATCGAATTCATACAACAAGAGGCCTATGGGCCACAAAGCTCAACTGAGTAACTTTTGCCCTGCTGTTCTTCACCAGACTTTCCCACTATAATACCTATTATGGCCCTGCCCTACCTCCAGGGATCATGTTAATCAGTTAGAATCTACTCTACCCCAGGATGCTTCCACAGCTTTTCTGACCCAGTGGTTATTGAGAAGAAGATTTTTTAATGATCCCACCCTATTTTTGTCTTTTTTTGATTATCTCCCCTTGGTAGGAGGCTGGGCCCCTCATTTTAATAATTTAAACTCCCCTTCACTCAAAGGTACTTTGTACCAACTTTGGTTAAAATTGGCCCTGCAGTGGTTCTTGAGAAGTTGAAAATGTGAAAAGTTTACAGACGGACAGATGACAAACAATGGGTGATCAGAAAAGCTAACTTGAGCTCAGGTGAGCTAAAAATGAATCCCACCATATGACACACAGACAGGCACAAGGGTAAAATAGTATACCCCCTCTCCTTCAGAGTGGGGGTATAAAAACAATTGATGAGACTGTAGCTCTATTGATTTGAGAAATTCATAATACTGATGTTGAAATAAATTGCATAGCTTTAGGATGAGAAGGGTTTAAAAAATTAAATTTACAGATTAGCTGATAGACAGAGGACATGTACGTTACAATCACATACAAGATTTCCTGTAGGTGGATTATTATTAATAGATTTTATTATCCTTTGAATTATACAGTCAATCTGATGGTCTGGTCACAGACATCAAAGTTATCCATTGACATATTTTGAAAGAAATTGATCGGAGAACAAAAGAGGTTTGCCTGAATTTTTTTTGAATTACTCTTCTTTCATAAAATTTAGATTTTTTTCAGGATAATAAAACTACTATGGGCTGTTTAGTTGGGAGACAAGACAAAAAATCAGTTCTGAGTAGGGTTGTTACCCTTGGGCATAAGAGCCGTCAGGTGCCAACCCTACTCAGGCCTCATTTTTTGTCTCGTTACATTACAATATTTACATTTTCAATAAATTTCCCCTAAGATTCTTTACAAAATAGAATACAGTTCATTTTCTCATGAACTACCATGAATGGGCATGAATATCTCCATTGTTATGTCATAATATCTTACTTGATGTCAAAACTATTGAGCAAATTGTTTTGCTTTAAAAATGAAAGTTGAATGGCGTTATTTGTGGCAAATCATCAGAAAAATAATGTAAATATAAGAAATGAATTTAATTTTTGAAAATTCATGAGGTACATGAATTGCAACGATTCATGAAATATATGCTGGCGTGAAGCATCATAGTTCATGTCCTAATGAATCTTCATAAATTAAATTCATTTCTTAAGTAGATGCTTTCATAAGACAGTCATACCCGCACTAAGGTGTTTGTCTGTAAATGCACTCTCCTTCATAACTGGGTAACCAGGGAAGAATCCACAATAATTCAATAATTGAAATCAAGCATAAAATGCTCAGGTGTACATGTGGCCATATACCAAATTCATTACCAGTCTGGTATTACAGAATTTAACTATGTAAATTCTGTTTAACAGAGAATTTTTGAAAGATTTTTGTTAAAAAAAAAGGAGGGGGTTAATTTTTGGCTCATAATTGGAATTTGTTGAATCTGTTGTCAAAACAACAAATATGTGCATAGCATTTTTGATAAACTTTTAAAATTTAGATGCCAAAATGACCACTTTGGGAAATGATCGAATTGTGCAATTTTTTTTCAGTATACCCTGAAATACCCTTTCCAAACCCACAACCAATCAACTACACGTACGTCAAAAATCAACCCGGTGTCATATAATATATTGAACCCCACCATATTTTGAACCCAGGTTCAAAATATTGCTGCGAAATATTGAACCCCCCTATAAAATATTGATCCCGGGGTTCAAAATATTATGGCCATAATATTTTGAACCCGGGGTTCAATATATTATAGCCTTGTGGCCATAATATTTTGAACCTTGGGTTCAATATATTATAGCCTTAGGGCCATAATATTTTGAACCCCGGGTTCAATATATTATAGCCTTGTGGCCATAATATTTTGAACCCTGGGTTCATTATATTATATAGCCTTATGGCCATAATATTTTGAACCCCTGCCATTACAAACATTCTCTGTTTAAAGCATAGAGGTTCCTAAGATTATGGCCTTGAAATGTTGTACTTCCTAATTAAAATTTTTTTTTTGGTAGGGTGGGGTGGAGGTTTAAAATAGGATTTATGGCTGTAAAATGTTGTACTCACTATTAGACATATATTATATTGTTTAGGAGGTTGTTTAAAAATTATTGACCTAAAAATACTTTTTGAATGGTAAGAGGGGGTTCAAGATATGGCAGTGAAATGTTCAACCCCACAACATTTTATAAAGGATAGAAAATATTATGGCTGAGAAGTATTGAACCTCCATTTAAAGACTACTATGGAAAAGGAAGTGAAAGTATCTAACACCCGTCTCACACACACTAACTTTGATTTAATCGTTAGATCTCAAGGGTTGGGTATCTTTTTATTAAAATTGTATTTTTTTTTTATATCTGTGCAATACCTAAAGAAGTGAGAGTAAAATAATATAATCAAAATATTGAAGTCTGAAATTGCCATCAGGAAATTAAAAATAATTGTCTTTTACCATCAAACCCCAAATTTTCTACATCAAATAACTAAAATAACTTGATATGTCTGATGGAAAAACAATTATGAAATATTTATTTCTCTGTCTTTTATCCCATCCCATAAGGTATTCATTTTTTTTTTATTTATTATTATTTTTTTTTGTATAATTTACAATTTGAAAAAAGAAAATTCAAGGAGCAATGTAGTATCTCTCCATTGAGGAGGTAACAGGGATATAGTACCTGTGTATTGTGTGTACACAGGGAGGTGTCATTGGAGGTCAACCATACCAACTGTCTATTGTTTCTCCTTGATGGTTTCTATATTATTCAATACAGTGTTTAGAGAGTGTAAAAAATTGGGTAGCCCAGTTTGAGGGGTGTTTAGCTTACATACATCATTCTGGTGTTAAAATCGAGCTAATCAAAGTAAATACAATCATTTACAATGTCATTTTCAGTACACAGATCTGGTTAATTTCCTTGGTAGTCCACCAGACAGATGAGAATGGCCAGTCAACAGAAAGGGCTAGAGATTCAATAGTTCATCCCATAGAGTGTAACTGGAATATTTGGTGTTTTATGAAGGGAGAGAGCAACATTAAACAGAAATGGGTACCTAAAAAGGAGTCTAATTGGGGAACAATATTTAACAGCCATATTAATTTGAACCCCTCTTTTTGACCACTGAAGTAAAAAAAGGGGAGGGGGTGTCAGAATTCTGCAATGATAAAATCTTGAACCCCACCCACCTATTGAAAAATTAAAATGTAAGAGGGAAGGTCAATATTTTGAAGCCATTGTATCTTGAAAACAGTTTCCATGAACCTTTAAGTGGGGTCAATATTTTACAGCCATGATATTTAAAACCCAACTCCTCAAAAGTGTAACAGAAATTCAATATTTTTGCAATCATAATGACTTGAAATTATTACATGTACACTCCCCATGAAAAAAAAAACAAAAAACACACACACACATACAATAGGGTCCTCAATATTTTATGATATCTTTACTGTTCAATCGATGTACCCCACAATTAACCTTTAGGGTGAGGTTGTTTTTAACAGCCATATTATTTTATTCCCAGATTTTGAGAACTCTTATGAGGTTGAATATTTCACAAACACTATTCTGCTGAACCCCAAAAGACAAAAATCCAGAGGGCCATCAATATTTTATGGTCATGATATTTTGAACCCCCTCCATTTCTAAACAAGTATAATACCATACATGTAATACTTTAAAACTCCCTCTTCCTGACCACTACATTGTAATGGGGGACAGTACTTTGCAACTATAATATTTTGAATCCCCCTCTTAAATTAAAATTTTTGGGAAATCAATATTTTAGGATCATAATATCTTGAACCCCCTCCCTCATAAATTAGAAGGGTAGGGGACTCAATATATTATAACCATAATATGATGAACCCACCAGGTTCAATATTTTATAAGGGGATTCGTTACATCGCAGCGAAAAAATGAACCCAGGTTCAAAATATTATGCGATATATTGAACCCGGGTCCAAAACCTTATTGCACATCTACAGGACACCATCAATTTTTTTTACCCTTGTTTTGCCCCCATGGTGAAATTGAAAATTCCAAAACCTTATTTCACATCTGTATGACAACACCTATCATATTCCAAAAATTTAATTGAATTCTGCTTAAAATGTAGGAGTAAATAGATTAAGAAGAAAGTGTGACAGACGGACGGACAGACATGAGTAACAACAACATACCCAAACTTTTCTTTAGAAAGTGCAGGTAAAATTATATCAATTTTCACAATGAGTTAACTTAATTAACACTACAGGAGAAGGAAAAGGGAAATCTTACATCAGTCATATCCTCTGGAACTATTTCTTCCAAAACCATATTGTCAATCTGAAAAGAAAGAAAAATATTCTATGTTGTTAAATTAACTGATGGTGCCAGCACTGCATTAATAATGTCTTTTTATATAAAATACAACATAAATTGGCAATGGGAGAGTTCTAACAATTTATATGGAGAACTCAAAAACACATTAAAAAGGCCCCCTCCCCTAAAAATAAGGGGGGAGCAGTGTATGGATAACAAATGAATAAGATGAGAGAGATTGTAAAAGGATTGATGACTGAAGTACTGTAGAGGCACATCAAGCATAACAAAACTAAAAATAGAATTATTAGATTGATCATATGCCCAGCTGAATTGTCTTACTTTATACTGAGATTCATGTATACAAATTACTCAGACAAGGGTTGTTTGTCAGAACTATAATTTAATTGTAAATTGCATTTGCCTTCATCAAGAAACATGTTCTTTTTTTTTTAATTTCATTACCTCCATATCAATATCCAGTTTTGTATTATTCCAAGTTGGGAGTGGCTGTGAAAAAATTCCATCAGCTGAGAGGGGATCCTGTAATATATAAGCAGGTTTTTATGATAATTAGACAGTATGTGCCATACTTGATGTGTTACAAAGAAATAATTCTGTTGTTCCATGGTCATAACATAACACAGGATGTCCATTAAAAATATTAAGTTAAGTAATATTAACCACAATCATACTCTTCATTTTCTAAGTTAAAAGTATGGGTTTCTTTTTTTATATTTTTTTTTTGGTTTTGTATATGATACATGCTTACCTTAAAAATTTAATTTTTCATTTGGAAAAAAAATTAATGAAGATGAAAAAGAAATTACAGTAAAATCAAAAATATGCTGATTACCTGACCAGTACTTAGTGGAATGCTCAATCCATTCAGTACCTTTGTTGTGAAAGAATTACGAAATAAATGAATAAATTTCTTGTCAAAATTATATGAAATAATGAAATTGCTAGTTAGTAAGCTTTAATCTTTAATCATCTTTAAAAATATTTTTTTGTTCTTTTCCATTTATACAAACATCTGTCCTTTGTCAAAAGCTGATAATGCTGTATTCTGTTCTATTTTTGGTTTCAATGATGATGCCATCATTTAAAGTTACATTATAATTACACAAGCTAATTTATACCCAAAAGATGCATAATAATATTAAAAGGTTATATTTTTATGTAAATAATGTTGTTTATGAGATATTATTATCAGCTAGTCTGATAATTTCCCCAACTTTGAAAGATTTGGTTAAAAAGTAAAAAGTTTTCATTTATAAATATCTAAGATAAATTGAATTGAATATATACAGTTGCCATTGAACCACGAGATTAAACTTTGTCTTGTCATCTGATTTTGATAATAGCAACTTACATCAAAGGAAAAGTAGTCGTGGTCATTCCCTCCATTATTATTGTTTGCAGAGTATGCAAAACTCCAGACCTGGAAAAAGTGTATATTAATAATGATAAATTCTAATACTTCATAAGAATACCAGCAATTATTTCTTAGTAAAAAAAATAATAAAAATGAAAAAAATAATACATCACAGGTGATTTTATTTTACTTATTTTTTGGCTTGATAGCTGGTCTCAACAGAAAATTATTTATAAATAAAATAAAAATAAATAACAGATCATCATGCATTACTCTTTGCCATATTTTCACTATAATAAATCTTTTCTCAATGTTTCTACCCTCTCTTGTACACCATTCTACCTTTTTGTAGGCAGGGGGATTCCCATTTCTTTTTCTCTGTATATATATATATATATATATATATATATATAGATATAGATATATATATATATATATATATATATATATATATATATATATATATATATATATCTCTAGTTATACTAGTATGTGAATTTTCATTTGGAAGTCATCCCCCCCAATCCCCCCCCCCCCAAATAAATAAATAATAAGCTTGTTTTAATCAGTTATTCAATGAAAAAAAATATTTATATGTACTTTACTTTTTTGTTCATTGAAATTAAGTGTTTCGATAAAGTATACATACTTTCAATGAAATATATATAATAGGGAATAGATCCGATTTGTCATTGAAGAGTTGACTGCCAAGGTTAACATGCTTTTTACGTGTATATGTATCGTCTGAAGCAAACAATGTAAGATTTATAGCAAATAAGTTACATTGTTACCATAGTTACCAGATAAGAAATTATTTTTTTCAAGAATTATTCACTTACAATCAGATTGAGAACAGCGCAAATCGAAGATACCGCCATTGTTGACTCAGGTAAATGAGATCGGGTTTGATATGAGGTTTAGAAATCTGCGCATGCGCACTTTAACTTCCGGAGTGAATCTCACCCGTCCCTGAGACATCAAAATTTCCTTTCCGGAAGTTTAACTTGTTTATAGTATTTTTGGCGGGGAAAAATAAATGTATTTTCCCCGCAGATAGATTTATTCCTCGAAGCAAACTAGGTACGTATTTATTGAATTAATTCTGTTATAAGTCGAGTTATGTTTATAAATCACCATTAATAGCAGTACAGAATACGTTCTTCAATTTTAGATTTGAATTCTCTTTATATTGCAAGGAAATTTAGTTTACTGAACATCGAATCTGCAAACTAAAAATTAGAGTATTCCAAGAACATCGGAATATAACAGGCATGGATTCTGATAGTGATGCATCCATCGTCAGTGGAACAACAAAGCACAGTGGCAAAGACTCCCCTGATCTGACAATCAGTTTGTAAGAAAACATTTTGGTTAGCTCAACTGAGCTGAAAGCTCAAGTCAGCTTTACTGGTCACATTCTGTCTGGCGTACGCATCCATCTAAAACGTTTTAACATTTTTTTTTACTTCTTCTCATGAACCACTGGGCCAATGTCAACAAAAACATGCCACACAGTATCCTTGGTAAAAGGGATTCAAGGTTTAAATGAAGAAGCACACCCTCATAAGGGGAGATAATTAAGAATTGGTGAACATGCATTGTGTGGTCACATTTTTTATACATCAAAATTCTTCTCAAGAACCACTGGTTTAGAAGATGAAATTTGTATGATTTCAAGCTTCTTGACATAGTGTAGATTCAATTTTGTTCAAATAATGGCCCTCAAAGGAAGGGGGGGGGGGGGCTACAATAGGAGAATCCAAGTTTAACTTGGTTATCTTCTTCTTAAGAACATCAGTGTCATGATTTTGTCATATTCAGATGAAAGCAATCAATTATAATGTAGATTCAAGTTTGTTCAAATCTTGACCTTTAGTGGTAGGGTTGAGTGACAATAGAAGATCAAAGTATTATCAGAGATGTAAATAACAGAGATTTGCAACTCTGTCTTTATAACTTTTATTCACTAAAGATACAAGTAGGTATCTCGAATACCATGGATATATATCAAAGTGATTTGAAAATCCCAACCACTTTCTCTTTTAAGTATTTTACCCTCAATATCTTGAATCCTTGGATATCTCGAAGTTTTTTCTCAGTCCTATTGAGTTCGAGATAATGAGGTTTGACTGTATGTGATAGTCCAAGGAATTCCTCTTTTAGTTGCATATATCCATCTCAAGTTGAATCAATATTAATTTTGTCATATATGGGTGTGTGATTCTTTTAAAATCTTTAAAACTGTGTAGTGGTTATTAAAAGCAAACTAAAAAATTTAAAGTGGTCAATGATCGGAAGTTGGTGATATTTAGGAGTTAACAATATGGAGTCAAAATGTTTGAAATGAATAAAGAGGGAAAAATCTTTTTTAAAAACTTCCTCTGAAAAATAGCAGTGCCAAGGTGACTTAGGTGAGCGTTGTGGCCAATGGGCCATTTGTAATTCTTGTATCATTATTCGTGATCTCTCTTAAAAAAAGTTTAAATGTTAAATTTTAAATTTCATGATTTTGTTATTTGCAGTTTGAATAAAATAGGCAGCGAGAATCCTCAAAATGAAATCAGTGCCTGTGGTGGTATGTAAAAATTAATTTATCACCAAGTGATATTTATTTAAAAATATATATATAGCTTTTTTATAGAAAAGTATAAATGGAAAGATGTACTTAATGCATCAGGAAACCTTGTAACCATGTTAATCACATATGCAGAACCTGAGAAAAAAGATGTACAGAATCTTCATTTCAGTTCAAGGCTAAATCTGTTTAACATGCATAAATGGACTCTGAATTTCCCAAAATTAGCTTGTATCTGGGAGTTTAAGCTCCATTCATTTTGACATAATAAATACCCCATATCCTTCCCACTCTTCAAGCCTTGGGAATGCGAAAGAACTTTTCCATTTTCAGCACTCAAATGTGACAATATGAAATAACCATTGCTATGCCCCTGTACATGTAAAAGCTGTTAGAAGGTTAGAAAATATATTAATTCAACTTTGATAATATGAGCATTTTATCAAACATATAGATTTTGATATTTACAGATGTCAATTCTCCTATAATTCCTGTAGCAAGATCAAAATTTCGTAATGTAATTGACGACCCTGTGTACTGCAGTGTAAGTAAACTTCGAGAGACATGTTAAAAGAGTCAACATGAAAAATTTATATTTTTATAAAATGAAATGATGAAATTTTAAATCCAACTTTTGTTATTAATTATGTAAATTGTCAATTGTCTAAATATTAGCCACTGAAAAAGAAAAGGCAAGCCACAGCTGATGAGGAATCTGACCCGGAATCTTGTTGTTCCCAGTCCATCCTTACAAACTACAAACAGAAGGCTTTTACACAAGCTAAATCTTGGGAGGCTCAAGATGGGAATCCGGTTAAAAATCCAGTTGTACAGAACAAAACAAAGAGACAAGAGGATTCCAATCATGTGAAGCAAGTGTGTAGTATGGTGTACGACTCTGTTTTGTCATTTTCATTATGATTTTTTTTTTCAAGGAGACGTGCTGTTGGGGAAGTTTTTTTTTGGGGGGGGGGGGGGGGGGATTATGACAAAAAAAAACCTGTAAGCTAAGAGTTCTTCAGTCAGAAATTGAGAATGGAAATATTTTGAATATGAAATAAGAAAATATGGTTTTCAGTTTTGAAAAGTTAGTAGTTTGCATAGGTTTAGAATCTTTGGAGGTAGATGAAATTTAAAATCCAATTTTCTACTAATTTCTTCTTTTAATATTTCAGTTAGAAAATGTATTTGTTGTGTCACAGGATTCAGATGTAACAAGAATCAGCTCTACAGACAATAGCCAACAAGAAAATGAAAATCAAAGGTATGAATGTACTGCTATCATTTGTTATAAAAGTTAAACAATTGTGAATTCTGATATGAAGTGTCCAAAAAAAAACAAAAACAAAAAAAAACGATCATTACATGTACAGTTAGAACATTTACATTTACTGAAATTTTGATTTTGTCTGGAAATATTCATATTTAAATGGACAAATCTCCTACATATATCTATTATATCAAAGATTGCATTCAAAAGAGACAACACAAAAGAAAAGAGTAAGAGAGCAGGAAAAACCCAAACAATCTGAAGAGGAGATATGTGATCTACAGATTTCACAGATGGGAGGATCACAGCTGTTGTTTCCTGATACCCAGAGTTCTACCAAAAGCATGGGTACACCAGCACATTTTATATTTTTTATTTACAACCTAAGGTGAAAGAGCAACATTTTTTTTATTGAAAGGGGTGGGGGAGTTCAAGCAAGTACCCCCATCAATTGATCTTCTGTTTTTTTTTTGTTGTACATTAGTTGCCTTTGGTCAAGGACAATGATCTACATGTATATCAGGTCATTGTAACATCTAAAGGTCATTAGTCTGATAAATACCAGTACTAATTGCCATTATGGATATATAAGGTGAATAATATCTCCATTATTTTAAATTATATGTATATATTATGTTATGGTTCTTATTTTGTGTTCCTTGATGGAGACCATTAACTTTTATAGCTTCGTGTATCTTCGGGAATAATGACTTTAAAGAAAAAATGACTACTTCCTTTTTTATTCTTTTGGTAATTGATTAAATTCAGGTTGAAGTAAATTGGATATTCTTTATATCAATTTAAGGGTTTTTTCCCCTGAATTTTTAATCACTAGAGTAAAGTTAAGTATTAAATTAAATAATATATGAAATGTGGTTTTTAGTAGCTTCAGAATTATTTTTATATCTGATTCAGATCTCAGATTTTTATGATTTTTACTTCAGAGAAGCAAGTAGTCCAATGTTCTCAGACTTCGAGTGGCATGTCAACAGCTTCCAGTAATCTGAACAGTCTGGATAGCATCTTGGTTTGTATTATGTGTTTCAATATTCAAAAACCAAGTTGCAGTAAATAAATGGTAGCAGATTTTCCACAAATTTAACAAGAGCTCACCTGAGTCAATATGGCCCTGCTACTCCTATGTAAAACTTTGATCCCCATCATGGCCCCAGCCTAACCCTGGGGGGTCATGATTTGAATAAACTTTAATCTACATTACCTGAAGATGCTTCGAAATTAATAAGACTAATCATGGCAATGTGTTCTTGAGAAAAAATTAAGACTTTTTACCTATACATGTATATTCCTATTAAAACTTTGAACCCCCATTGTGGCTCCACTTTACTTGGGGGGGGGGGGTCATTATTTGAACAAACTTGAATCTAATTTTTTTAAATGAAGGGTTCACATAAGTTTCAACTTCTCTGGCCCAGTGGTTCTTGAGGAGAAGATTTTTAAAAGATGCCACCAAATTTTCACTAATCCTTAGTTATCTTTCCTTGAAAAAGGGTGTGACGTATGACCCCTCATTTGAACTTTTAAATCCTCTTCACCAAAAGATGTTTTGTGGCAAGTCTGGTTGAAATTGGCCTAGTGGTTCTGGAGATTAAGTAAAAATGTGAAAAGTTTACAGACAGACAGACAGAATATATACAAAATGTGATCAGAAAAGCTCACTTCAATGAGTTTTCAGCTTAGGTGAGCTAAAAAAAAAACCCCACATACATCTGAATTAAAAATGAAAATATGTGTTATTTGTAATATATGTGTGACAGTATTATGAATTTTTATCAGATGAACTGATTTTTTTCTTTTTTCAAAGACAAAGGAGCAAATGGAGGAGGCATTCATGAAGATCAGAAAAATCCACACCCAAATTGAAAAGAATATTAGAGACAAAAATGTCACTGAAGAGTGTAGAGGTACATTTGTAAAAATCATCTTGTAAAAAAAATCATTTGTCAGGACTGGACTGCTTAATTAGACAATTTTACAAATAATTACAGGTCAAATGAATTTATTTCAATGGCCCAATTGTCCATTGATAATGAAGAACTGTTAAATTTAGAAATGGTTACACAAGCAGCTGATTTATATTTATGGTGCTGAAATCAATGTAAAAATCTCTTGATTAACCATCCATTCACAAATTATTGTTCTTGTGATTTGACGAGAAAGAGCCATTCGGAAAATAAGTACTCACGAAAAATAAGGAATCTGCAGTACTCATTGCTTTATAAAGCATTGTAAGATACCCAATCTCACTTATTTGTAGAAAGCTTTGAGAAAAAGTTAGCTGTTGTGCACAAGTCCTTGAAGAACATCAGTGAGAAAATGAGTTATGAAAAGGTTAAAATAACGTTTGATGTGAAGCACTCGGTGAAAACCGTTGAATCCAGAAATAAGCTGCGAGAAGAGATGAAGGATCTAACACAGAGGCAGACAACCCTTAAGAAGTTGTTAGTGAAGCAAGCTGAGTTAACAAAATACTTAAAACTAAACCCAGGCAACTTAACAGAAAACCAGTCTCAGGAAACGAAAACAAAAAACAAGTCTAGTCCTTTTTCAAGTAAGGTTAATGACTGGATGAACAAAAATCAAGTTCCAAGGAGGAGAGATTCTCTGGAACAGTCCTCCAGTATCCCTAAAACCAGTTCAGTTGAAGAGTGCTCTAGTGGTGTGAAGGCAATTTGGACAGTACCAAAGGAGAGGTCTGAAACAAAAAGTACAGGAAATACTCAGGTAAAATGCTTGTTACTTGAGTTGTCTCCCTTCAAATGTATTTCTGTGTTTTCCTTGCCAAATTTACCGGCTCTAAAGAGAAAAAAAAAAACACTGAAGAACTTATAAAAGCCATATGCATCAGTAATTGTATAACTGAATATGTATTTTGCATCTAGTAGGAATTTAGCTATAAATAGCTTTAAATAAGATTAGTGAGAGTCACTACCGTATAACGGGTATTTTCTGCGGTTGGAATTTTTTGCGATTTAACCCCTAAAAGGTAGCAAATTAATTTCTGCGTTTTCAATTTCTGCGGTTGCATTATACCGCAAAAAATATATACTGGGTATGATCACCAAACTCTAAGAATTATCAGATAGCTGCCATGTTTACGTTTTATAAATTCATTGAGACATATTGATCAAAGGTGCATGAGAACTGGTATTAAGCTATTTAGCTTAATTAAACTACTATCTTTTAGTTAGTCTTTGTACAATTATGTCGAGTCCCAATTGAAATGAATTATTACAGTATCAGTCCACCCAAATAACAATAAAAATCTTTATTCTACATTGTAACAAACGTTTTATGCGATCTATTAAGATATTTAAATATATAGATAATTAATGCATCCAAGCCATATTCTAAAAATACACTTATAGTTAATTGCCATCAAAATTAACCTGGTGTTTATATTTTAAGCTCAAACAAACAGTTGCATAATCAAGTAACCTAAAGTTGACCCTATATAATCGCAGGTGCCATGTGCAATGAGGCGTAACTAATCCTGTCAGTCGTCTGCATTGAGTGAAATTCACGAGACAATCAAGCCACATTGTGTATACAAGCAGTAATTATGGTCTCAAGATAAAACACAAGATTGAAAAAAAGTGTTAAAGAAAGAAAGAAAAGCTAATATGTGTTGTTTGCAGCTATCGGAGTTTGGACGAATAATTGCGAAATCTCTTTTAGTCATTTACATGTAGGCCTACATGCATATCCCTATAAAATAAAGAAATAGGTACAAGAAAAGATCTTTTGTATAAAATTATTAAATTGATATTATTTACAGGAACGTTTTGATTCAATATGTTTTGGACAAATCCTGAGTGACATCTAAAATCTTCGACTTTCGATGACACCCGAATATTCTCGCTAACGAGGACGTGTCCACTCATGAGTCTGCGGACGCATCGTTTTTAAGAACCTTGCGTCCCAAATAATTTTGCTGCGTCCAGTACGCAGCTTCTTGCGTTAATGAGAATCCTGTGACATACGCACAACTTATCATACTTGCATGTATAAAATATATATCTGAAGAAATATTGAAAAATATTTTGCGATTGTAATTTTTGCGGATTTGTCCTATCCGCAAAATTCCGCAAAAATTGGACAACCGCAGAAAATACCCGTTATACGGTATTACTTTTGACTCTACTACAATAATAAAACATTATCGAAGAAGGGTTACAATTTGAATATAAAGTCTAAAGAATTTAAAGATTTTTTTCTCCAGGTTGCACAACCTAAGACGATACCAGCAGTACTATCAAATGCTAAAAGCCTGGAAAAGACTTCAAATGTAAAGCAACCAAATCCTGTACTTTCCAACAAGAAAGTAGAGAGTACCCAGCCACTATCAAGTGAAAATTCTTCTACTGTAATTTATGTGTATCCCAACCCCTCAAACAGCAGTCTTGTATCCAACATGGCAGCAACAAGTACAGGTATAATGTCACAAAAGCAAAGCGCAGTGACAGCATCTACTCCTTCACTCTCTCCAAGTAGTACTAGGACCTCTCCAAGTAGTACAAGGAATGCATCTCAAATGAAGAATTCATCACAAATTTTTCGGAGACCATCAGAGATAATAAAATCACCACCGCTATTCAACCCAGACTCTTTTCTAAGAAAAACTATGAAATCTCCCCCAGTTCAGTCTCAAAATAGATTATCCTTCAGGTCGCCTCCCATATCTCTCCTGAGGTCTGTCCAGGATAAGAACATATCCCCCAGCACAGTGTGTTCCAGTGACGTGTTCCCTGTGTCCTGTAAAGAGCTGGGTCGGAGGATCCAGGAAAGGATTGCAAGTCAGAGAGAGGCTGAAACTCAACAGGCATCCCAAATGTTGTCTGCCACTTCAGAAAGAAGGAGAAGTGAAGATTTGTTTTCTGAAAGGAAGGATTTGGATGGAGGGTATAGACAAGAAGCTCAAAAGAAAGCTGTTTTAGTTAAAAACCAAGGACAGGCTGAGTCTGGTACCAAATCAAATGCTGCAATAACATGTATAAATCTGGTAAGGCCAAGATAAATAAATAGTGTGTTTCCTATTCCAACTCAAGAAAAAATAGGGTAGGTAGGTAGGGAAAACATTTTATTTTATTTTAACATTTTATTAGTTAAAATTCAACTTCGACAATAAACAAAGTGAGAAAAACAAAGAGTTCATTTCTTTGTCCCAAAAGGGTGGCTTACTAATGGCATTTCTGTTTAATATGTATAGGATATGCATTTTCCCAAACACCGAAGTGATCGAGATTAGGATTTCTAATCGTGAAAATGGAATTGCTGACTTCCGGAAAGATAACGGCGGATAAATTTTTCAGGGTCGGCTCATATATTTTAGGGTCGGTTGGGAACTGGAAACACACAATTTATTTATCTAGGCCTAAATGATCTTGATGTCATTTTTTAAGAATACTTTGGCTTCATTGACATATTTATAGCTTTATGATACATCTTCATGATTAACCCAGTCTTTGTTTTTGCACAACGATCTTTACCATTTGAAAAGAAAAAAAATACTTTGCACATTTCTCTAATCCATTCTAGGAAGAAGATGGCAGTGAGTCAAGATACGAAAAGTTCGGAGGCTTAAAATTTCCTCCTCTGAAAACTCTGATAGATTTAGCTGTACTGTTCCCTGCAGAGGATATTCTGACTGTTCAACATTCAGGGAGAGTTTTCACAGCTTCCCTGACTGATCAGGGTTACATAGAGAGCAGAGGTGGGGAAATCTTCACCACTCCAATGAGGTGGCTCAGTGCTGTGAAGGCAGGGGAGATAATAAAGAAGGCACAGGCATACAGAGAGGTAAATAGAATGTGCTCTTTGTCTTTTTGCAAGACAGAACATATTTGTTCCTTTAAGTAGAAGAGCAATCTCTTTCTCCACCAGTGAAAAATCTGATTACTGGTGAAAATGCCAGGCGGGCAGCTGCCAAAAGGGTATATCATTTGTCAGGATAAATCCTCCTACAGTTTTCAAGACAGGAAGTTTTGCAGATCAATTGTACATATATCAGACAGGAGCATGTCATGGATTTGATAATTTATGACAAAAATACCAGTTGTTGAACTTTGTCATTTTTATGCAAAATATTGCATATAGGGTACATTGTTTGTCTGGATAACTCCTACACTTTTCAAGATATGAAGCTTTTTAATTTTTGCAGATTAATTGTACATATGTCAGAAATGTGTACAGTACTTGAATTTTGTTTTTGATAATTTATGAGAAAAATTCCAGTTGTTGAACATGGTCATTTTTATGACAAATGTATTCTTAGGGTACATCATTTGTCCAGATATCTCCTCCTACAATTATCAAGATAGGAATTTTTTATTTTGCAGATCAATTGTACATATATCAGAGATGTGCATGGTACTTGATTTTGATTTTTGATCATAATGGGTAAAATACCACATGTTGAACTTGGTCATTTTCATGCAAAATATGTTCATAGCGTACATTGATGTTGTTGGAATGTCACCTCCTACAGTTTTCAGAATAGAAATTTTTTTAATTAATGTGAGAAATATCAGTACTGTTCACACAAAAGAAAATCCAGTCTGCTGTGACATTGACAGCATTCTTGTTGTTTTAAAATCTCATGTTTTCACAAATTTATGTAAAATTTTCATTTTCAGGTCATGTATGATGGTCATTCACTAAAAAGTTACGTAGAGGGAGAACATGAGACCTCATTACAAAATATCCAAGGTACAGAAACTTAATTGTTGCAACAAAGTAAATGTTTAATTCTACATGGTGAAATATGTATATTCTATACTTCCTCTTCATTTGCTTCTTTCAGTAAAAACAAAATCCACCAATCATAAAAGCAAAGACATGGCAAATGTTCAAGAAACAGATAATTTAGGATCATCAAAGTAAGTTCAGAAATTACTAATGATACTATAGTCCTTGGGAATTTTTTTCTACAAGTTTATAGATTGGTTCACAGTATATAACAAAGTAGACAGAGCTGTGTGTTTTACTTATACATGTGTCATATTTTTTCAAGGCTTATGAATGATGAGGACAAACAGCTTGCTGATCTGCTTTTTCAATGTAAGATTCACTTGCTGGATGAATCGGACCTAATTCCAATGGATGATCTTCCAGAGAATTTCTGGTGCAGTGATTTCAGTAGTGTTCACCTGTCTCGTACTTTCTGGAATCAAGTTAACGACTGGGATGGTTTAGTACAACCTATGTCACAATACTAAGAAAGTTCTTATTCAATAACATACACATATTTATTGTATATAAAATATTTATATCACAGCAGAAAAATGAAAGACAATGGTAATTTTCCTAATAAAAGTTTCTGCACTAAAATTTGTAATTTTGAAGAATACCAAACAGATATTTGATAAACATTATTGAATATTTAAACGATGTATTTAGTCCTTTATTTGTCCCTGTAATTTTGCTCATATTTTGTCATAAGGATTCACTAGTGCCATGTTGTAGCTGGAAGCACTAGGCTCATCATAGGTAGACAGACAGATGTCAGGTACCCCCTCAGTCATCTGGTCCCTAGAGAAATCGTACACCTGTATCCCTCCTCTGTATCTACAACAGTGAAAATAAACAAATGCAAACTAACAATCCTTTTTTTACAGATAATATTTACTTAGTATTAAATAGATAATTGACTTAAAATAAATGAATAGTTACTTTCGATGTGTGATGTTCTCATATTCATCAACAACAGGACATTTTGACGATGGTACGTTTCCAACTACAAGTTTGTCTTCAGAAAATTTACAGTGTCTAACAGGGTGTCTGAAAAACAAAAATACATTTACTCATACTTACATTGTATATGCAAGATATGATTAATCTACACAGTTATCTCTCAAAAGGGAAACTGACCTATGAATTATTCTCAGCTCAGTCAAGAGTAAATGTTCTGTTAAACATGTAAACAATTTCAAAAATGGTTATATTTGTGGCTTCAAAAAAAATATTTCCATCAGTTATGATTTTGGTTCTTTGTTTTTTTTGCCTTTACTTCAATTCATAGTTAAATTTCACTGAAGTGATATTTCTTAACTAAGCTGTATTCTGTCATTAAAATGACTGTCGGAGTAAAATGGCAATAAAACATAAGGCTGTGTACAGTGGAGAGCAAAATTCTTTTGATTACTGGTAATTGAGTGGAGTTTGAAAGCCATATCGGGGTCATCTAGATCGTAATTTAATCATAATATACAGCCGAAGGTGTCAGTTGATGCTTTCACAGAAGTATCAATTTCATTTGAAATTTCATTCGAATGCATAACTTGAAAATAAACTTGCATCAATTAATCTACATTCTGTTATAACACACAGGTACTGAATTTGTTCTAACAATAGACATATTTTGTATTTACAATTTGAACTATTTATAATACCTGCTGTGAATTTCCCAAAGTTTACGAGCCATGCGGAGGTCCCACACATAAACAAACCCCCCAAATCCTCCAGAGACGACCTTCCAGTCATCCATCTGTACAGACGTTACCTCGTACATGTGCCCAGTAAAGGAAGCTACAGGATTAGTGGTTCTGATGTCATGAACACGCACCCTGAAATCAACATACTTGTAATTATCAAGCATTTGTAAAAAGAGTCATTTGTGAAATAGAATATGTGCAATTCTGGGTTATACACATGTATGTACCATGAAATACACGTATTGGTAAAAGTCATTTTTGAAATGGATTTTATTTGATTTAAATAATGCTGTGTAAAAATTTCCAAGCATACAGTGATCAGATTTTGGTAAAGTTGTCTGCTATAAGATTTATTATAGCCAAAATATGTGAAATCCTCAAAAGTGCTAATTCATGAGTGCACTAAATAGTCTATACAGAATATATTATACCTCCTATCTACACTGCCAGTCACTATTTGATTGATGGGACTGTTTCGTAAATTCATACATGATATTTCTCTGGTGTGTCCATACAAATCCTGTACCTCCCTCTTTGAATGAATATCATATAACTTTACCTGGAAAAAAGTATGTTTTTGATGATTATTCATGTACATGTGCATGCTCTTTGGCAAACTTATCAACATCTCCTTCTTGAGTTCAGTTTAACTTCACATCTCTAACATCAGCAAAACAAATACCAGGGATATAAAGGTCTTGATAATTCAAGTTTTAACTTCGACATCCAGACACTCAAATAAAGTACCTTGTAGTTAAGTTTCTTGACAGTAGTCTTGTTAGGTATCAATACCTATCAGAGTGTATGATGACTTTTGACCTCATGACCTTCAAGTTTGACCTTCTTTTAAAAAAATAACATTGGTAATAACTTTTACATGAGCAAAGGTAAGCTTTTATAATTCATGTGCCCTACCTGTTGAAAGGCCTTTTAACGTGTACTATGACTTTGTCCTCATGACCTTGACCTTGAAGTTTGACCTACTTCTCAAAATAAACATTGGTAAAACTTCTGAATGAGAGAAGATCTAAGCTTTCCTATGTGCATTACCTGTGGCATTAAGACCTTTCAGAATATACTAAAATTCATGATCTTGATGTACTTTTCAAAAATTTAACTTTATAACCATAGCTTTTGCACCTAAAGAGACATTGCTGCAACATTTTTACACGTAAATTACATGTGATAATACCCTTCCAAATGTGTGATGATTTTTGATCTCACGATCTTGAACTTTGACGTTTTGAGAAACTGCAAACTTTTGCACCAGAATATATTACTATAAAATTTTAACACTCTTTTGTATGATGGATAGACAGGACAGTTACAATAGGCCATAAATCAGTGCACCCCAACTAATAAGACCCTGAAAACGAGGGACCACAATTCTAGAAGTTTGCTTCATAACACATACAATACCTTCTGCTTCAGAGCAACTGCTAGAATATTGCTTTCTTCAGATACATCAATGGCTGATATGTTCAGATCTACAATATTATGTATCTCTGTACACTGTTGATCTGGAGTTTCCATGTTGTATAAAGAGACTTTGAACCATGTGGATACAGCAACATGTGGAGGGGAAGCTGGTGGCTCAAACAACTCAATATGCTGGACCTACAAGTATGAGTCTCAGAGCATGATATATCAAAGAGATAAACACAGAAAATAGATTCACATGGCCCCTACATTTATAAGAAAAATAATGATGCATATGTATTTTAATTAACGACCATACGAGCAAAGATTGAGAGACATTTAGTTTTTCGGCTTTTATGTACTAGTATATAAATACTGCATGTAGTTGAGGGTAACCTTGAAAATTTTCACCCCACAGAAAACCATCGTCAACTGAGGCTGCGCCTCGGTTGATAATGGTTTTCTTGGGATGAAAATTTTGCACCTCAGTTGACAATGGTTTTCTTGAGGTAAAAATTTTCAATGTTACCCTCAACTACATGCAGTATTTATTATATATGTATTATACTGAATGTTTTATACAAATCAAATAAAGGTGAAGGGAGCATGCATAGATTCCGAGCAATCAATATTTTGGGGGGAATATAATCCATCGCCAAGCAATGTTGACTGTTGCTCCATTCTATCCCATGGAGGGTGTGGTTTCATTATTCAGAGGATAACAGTGTATTAAACAAATGTTTCTCAAATCAAATTCAAGTTATTTACATAAATCTATAGTACATGTATTATTAAAGGTCTCTCTTTTCACAACTTTAATTTTAGACCCAGGTCAAGTGCAGATGTTTTTTTCCAAAATATTTTTACAAATCTTATTTTATCTATAGTATTCTTACCCACTGTTGAACATCTATTTGTTGTGTCTGGAACAAACCAGATTTCCTACGATGCATGTGAACAAATGGTCCAGCTGCTGTTACCATGGTGTCTGACAGATCTGATAAACAGAGGTGAGATATCCGTTTGGAATGGCCGTCAACAAATGTATAACATGGCTGTGTCTGATTTCCCTGAAGTTGCCAAACATCAACATTTCCTGAAGGGAAAAAAAAGAATGTTTAACTTGTGGTTGAAATTATTTACAATATGGCACTAACAGTACTATACTTTACATGTATTCAACATATTTATTCATCAATGTCATCCCCCTTAAAGTTATATTCGCATTGTATTTTTCTATGTGTTTCTGTTCAAAATGCCACATAATTCCTCCAACTACCTGAAATTATGCTAAACCAAACCTTGTTGAAACACGGCAGCTATCATATTTTTGGATGTAGAAACTTTGGTGACAAAATTTGTAATTGTGCCTTCCTCTTCTTCTTCATCGATAATGAGGGATGTGTTAGAAGGCTGCAGTATAAAGTCTTCTTCATTTTCTAGATCCCATACTTTGACATCTCCTTTTGTATACCTGAACAAAAGTAAAGAAATCAACAAAATACAAATATGATTTGAAATAGTACAATCCTACTACCTGGTACATCTTATACATGTTTTGCACCATATGAAAGTGATTGAAAATTTCGAATTTCAACCCCTTCTGACTAGTACTATTTGCCTGTTTTCCTCCTTCAAAAATAAAAAGGTCCCATATCCAGATCAAAATCTCTTCAAATCTATACACTTAATGTCAGTTATGAGGTCTTTATCTTTTACACTAAAAACCACACATAAAATTTTGCCAACAAACAATAAAATATAAACTCCTCTCTCAGTGGAGGTGTATTGTAAATTTTGATATATATTGGTAAAGACTGGAGAGGTAAAAAAAAAAAAATTGAGCATGAAAAACCTTACCCTGCAGCAACAATATTGAGGTAAGAGTGTACAGAACACAGGATTCCACCAGGCAAGTGCTGAAGTTGTCGGACATCTCCTTTTCTCTCCTGTAAGCATCATTTTAATGTTAAAATGCTTAAATTATAGCTTTAAATTTACTCTCTTAACATAGATATAATGAGACTTTTTAATTTTATAAACATAATTCCAACTGTTTCTTCATTTACTTCATAAACTATAAAATCACAAGTTTTTGTGGTGGCAAATTTTTGTGGTTTGAGGAAAAAAGGTATGTTTTGTGGGGATTTGATGTCAAGGTTGACAAAGTGTTGAGTTGTTAAACATTTGAAATTTTACTTTTTATGAAAGACATGAATTCTTGGGTATCTTCATACTACAAAAGCAATGAAAATTAAAGCCCCACAAAAATCAGTAGTGATTTAAGAGTATATTCAAAGGGATTTTAAGACATTGAAGATCCCTCTGATTACAAGGTAATCTGTGCGATTGTTTAAGAGTTTTACCTTCCAGTTTGAAAGAATACTTCTTTTCCTGTTGAGATTCTGCCTGACTATGTCTTTCCAATTGACCTTTTCTATAGTAAGGATATCCTCTTCATAGCCAAGATCATGGCAAATCTTACACCACAAAAATTCATCTTCGGCCAGGCTTTTCCAACTCTTGCTGACCTGATGAAGAAAAATGGAGCACCATATCTGAGGATGTTTAACCTTTTTTCTGGGTAATTTTTAGCCAGTTACTAGTAAGGATGTCATTTTATTTCTGACTCACCTGGGCACACCTGCATAAATCTGGCATACTAAGATGCTGGAAAATTTTGATTCCTACTTCTCTTGGGATGGACAAGTCAAAGAATGGAATCTCATTAATCTCATCCTGAAAAATAAAAATAACCATGATAACTACATGCATTTACATCTATACATGTATTCATAACTCTGTGACCTCTGAGCCAAATCTACTACATGCAGTTACCAATTATTAAGTACACTGCGAAAGAAAAAACACAAGAAAAGCACAGATAATTAAAGATAATTATAGTTCATCCAAATGAATGTAATCTTACTAATTTATGATAATGACTTGGGAAAAAAATCTCAAATCAAATGAACTTTAAATAATACTGTAGAGGCACAAATTTTTCGTGGCGGATATGATTTCATTGATTTGTCATCTATAAAAAGGTTTTGTGAGTATTAAATTTCATTGTAACCCTATTCAATATATTCATATAAAAATTTCGTGTGGGATTTAATTTTGTTGCTAATTGTTAAGAACGAAATAAACAAAATTAAATCCCCAACAATTATTTCTACTTTTATAGTACTCATTACCTAATTCTGTCATAACAGTGTTAATTAATTTACACATCTTGAAAATATGGCATCAGAAGTAAGACTGCAGATGCATCAGCTAATCGAATTTAGTCCCGGCCATGAGGCTTACCATTGTATCGGAGTCCTGCTTCATAAACTTAAATGACCAAGCATACACAAAATATAGGTCATATGAATAATAAATGATTGTAAGCATCTCAACACATATCAAACATGCAAACTTGGACCTTTTAAGGCTTATAGATCTGCTCCAAAAAATTTATCCTTGCCACTAATTAGAAATATATCCATATACCGGCCAGGACAGAAGCAGGCATCCCCAGATGTATCATTCATGAAAGTTTGTCCCATGCAGAATATGGTTACTTTAAGGATGGACCTCTAAAAAGATTCAAGACCTGTAACAAATGATGCAATCAACAGGAGTCTACCTCATCTCAACTTCTCCAGACACACTTCAACTGTTAGAGGACATTGCAACTTTTCAACGGAATTAAATTTTTATTCTAAACATAAGAAAAAATACATGCACTTTCAGCTGATTATATTAAAACACAGATTTTACCAAGTCCGAAATGAATTTGTCCAAGATTCTTTCTCTGATTTTGCCTGATCCATCATTTACACCTTGTTTATTTGAGAATATGTCTTTCAGTTTGAATTTCTTGACAGATTTATCATTTGATTGTTGATCTTTATGCCTCTTTAGGTACTTTTTTTCAACAACTGATTCTTTTTTGCCCGTCTGTTGATTCTCTATTTGAGGATTTTGTCCATCTTTTAACAGATTACAAACAATGTCAAACGGATAATAAGCAACCTCTCGTTTGCTATTCAAACTATCATCACTAGAATTGGAGGCGATAATATTATCGTTAAATTTAATGTTGACTGGTTTTGGTGGTGTTATCACGTTATGATTTCTAGAACTTGACGCAGAATTCTTCCCCTCATTACTTGTAGTCCCTCCGTCCGCGTTTCCTCTAAGTAGATTGCTTTGTTTTCTGTTTACTTCCTCTTTCCATCTCTTTCTGAACACTTCTAAATCCTCTGTATTTGCCATTTGTAATCTCACATATGTTGATGTCTGGGTGGCATTCCTTTTGGCTTTTCAAACGTTGAAAATACGATAGTCGACACTATAATACTATCCAATGTTTACCTCCAACCGTAAATACTCGGCCGTTTCCCTAAATAATAAACCTCTCTATGAAAATATCCGAGAGATTACGAATGTCTTTATCAAGTCGATATATTCCCGCCATATTGCCAAACCTGAAAAAGTTTACAAAGTGAAAAATATCAATAGTTTTGCTGACCTGTTTAACAGTGATGATAAATTTACCTTAATTGGCTTGGCTAAATTTTGTAAGATTGTAATGTCTTTATTTCTCTCTTGAAATTCCTTCCAATACCTCTACATTAATATTGTATATATGTTAATCCTTTGTTCATTTGTTACCTTTTCATTGTTGATTTATTTCTGCCTCATGTGAGGCCATAAAGTGAATAAAATGTTGCAATGTTTAAAAGTCTTTGAACATCCTCAGTAGTTCGGACTGTTCCTCATCCATGCAGTCTGCAGAGGATAATAGTCCTTCTCGCAGTCTTGGAGACCTGCATGAAACAGTAACTGTTGGTTTATAATTCAAAATTATATTATCCAAAAGACTTGCATCAAGCTCAATTGAGGATGCCACATCATGTTCTACCTGTGAATGGACCAAAAGTGTAATTGACAAACAGGGTACATGTATTCGAAATCAGTATCTTCTACCAACAGATATTGTAAATAAACGCATGTCATATGCATGCCTTTTGCCACAAGAAAGTGTGATCTCAGTGAACAGGCAGATATTTTTGGAAATATGAATAATTTTAAACAATGAATCTACTTTAGGCAGAAGTTAACCCTCTCAGTTTCATGTTTTCTTCACCAATAGAAGAAAAACTGCGGGATGTAAATAAGTACAGTGATTGACATTTTAAATGTGTAAGAGATGGCCATTTTTATCAGAAGCTACAATGCAGTAGGAATTATTAGAGAAATTCAATTTTAGCGATCTCAAAACCTCACTAAAATTACCAAAAATTTCTGCTTATACGGTAGATGATCCATCCTTGTATAAGAATAGATTTTTTTGGCAGCACTGATGAAACATAGGTGGAATCTTCAAAAATGGTATAACACTACAGTAATTTCTGAAACTAATCCCTGAAAATTTTATCCATCATATATGACGTACAATTTGAAAACTGAAAAGAGAAAGTCTTGCTTTCCTTTTGTGGAATACTGCATGTGGTCATATACTTAATCATACATGAATTTTTATTACAGAGGTCAACCATTAGTTGACAAAGAGTTTGCCAGAATATTCAACAAAAAATGTCATCAACAACAGATATTATATGCCTTAGCACAGAGAAGTCTGAAAAATAATGTCTGAGTGTAAGGTAATTTAAAATGAAATTTATTTTGTTGTGATGTGCCTATTCCATTTTATTTTATTTATTCATTCATTTTTTGGGGTATTGAAAATTTGATTGAATTAATTTGAAGGGGGGGGGATATTTGGTGTATGCATAAAATACTATGTACAACTTTTATTTTGCTCATTATTTTGATTCATGTTTTCTTATTAAAACATGTTTTTGCTCCATTTCTTTTCTTCTCTCTCTCTTTTTTTTTGGTTGTTTTTCTGTTTCCTCCCCTGATTATTCATTATCTATACACAATAGTTTCATTACTATTTTATTCTCATGATTTTATTGTTATGCTAGTATCATGAAAGTAGCAAGAATAATATCATTATGAACATAAGGCTTTATACAGTACATTTGTGTCGGCAAATTGTACTTCACGTCTTTTGGGTAAAACATCATATTTAAGTTTAATTCTCACAGATGATAATTTAACAGGTCCATCTATCTAGAAATGCTTAATTTACAGCAGATGAACAGAAAAAATTACCAACAAGATCTCAATGAAAAATCTGGGGGATAAAATTGGATGATTTTTTAAAGAATTTCATTTTAGGTGAAATCAGAGCACAATTCAGGGGAAGTAACTTCTCAAACAACTGCATCAAAATTAAGAAAGTTAGATGATGTGCAAAAAGGACAAGCAGAAACAGAAGAGAATTAAACCTTCAGTACCAGAGGACTGGCTTGCTCAGCATGTTGGGGAACTCTTGGTTTTCCTTGGCAGATCAATATGTAAGGAGGCTTTGATGGGAATGATTGTAGAGAGAACTCTTGTATGGATAATTTTATGTGTTTAATGTATAACTGTATGTATAATGCATAGCTTTTTGAGTATAATGTTTAACTTTGTGTGTAAAATATTCTTTATTAACAAAAAATTTTAACGCAGCTTCTTTACGATTTACATACATGTAGATGTTTGTAACTTCTTGTTACTTCTAAATACTGTGGTTTCATACTTTTTCATAATACAAATTTTTGCTGTTTGGGTGGTTGAGTCAGACCACAAAATTAGGCGATACTAAATGAACCACAAACTTTACTAATGATAGAATAGGAAGAGGTAGCTGTCTTTGAATTTTGATGTACTGTTAACATATTTTTTTCCACAGGTTCATAATTCCACGGAATCACTATTTCTGTTTAAAGTATAAAATTACATGGATTTCTTGTTTTGTCATTATATATCCTTAATGAATTTTAAGTACTCTGTGACAAATTTCCACAGAAAAATTGTGACCGCGTACATAGCAGAAATTAATCCCAAATGGAAAAATGTATGTCTACAGTATACATCAACAAAATTGCACCGATCCCCCCAAAAATTAATGAAACTTCAGTACGCAATAAACATCATTGTTTAAAGGTACTTTTCTGCTAGAGGAATACTCCATTCAGTTTACTCAATAAGTCTCAAAATTGTCTTATAAGTCTCAAAATTGCCTTATACCATATTATCCAAGCAACTTTGTAGGTTACCTTCACAAGACTGGTTGTGACAGAGGAAACCATAAAGAAACTGGAAAGTCTGGAATAAGGACCTCGGGAGGTGACAGAGGATGAAAGATCAGTTCTGTTTATACAGTAAACAGTATAATTACTTACTGGCAGAGGACAGAAAGAAAATAGTGAAGGCTTTATTAACATTGACTGTACTGGAGTATCAAACACCAACGAAGTACATTGCATTTCTTGTCCCCAAGGCCAGCAACACTTGGACATTCAAAAGATTTAAATTGAATATGATTCAGATGAGAGGGAAGTTAAGCTCATTCCAGATAAACTATTTTAATTTGTTAAAATAATGGTAAAAATCAAGCCATTTTATGTTTTAAAACCAAATTCAGTTATTTTATGTTGTATGTATTGCAAAATATTTCATATAGGAATTAAATTTGTTTTAATTTCACTGACTGTTCATCAATCAAAGGTCAGGTCTTCTTTATACATGTGTAACTCCTCTGTAAAGATACTGATTATACTTGACATTTTTCTTACTTATGGTCACATTCATTTTGATTTCTTCACTCAGTGTCACATTTCCAAAATCAGCCTCATTCTGGATTCATGATTTCAAATTATATCTAGTCTACCACTTGTGAAAATGATCATAATTTTTGAATTATATTTTTGAATGAATCTTCTCTTTCATCACATGATCCTCAGGCTCAGGAGAACTAATAAAACGAGAGGTACTGTGAGTGAGCTCACAAAATTCTACCTCTTTGCAACAACAGCTCTGCATCATATGTTTCTTACCTACAAAGTTATGGACCAGACTTGATCTATTTTTCTGAAAGCGACCTTCAGTTAGAAAAAATGAGTCAAGGTCATGACAAACCTTCTGGTCATAAGTACAGTCTTTGTATTAAGTGTGAATGTCCACTCTTTTTCCAGTACCTGGTAAACTTTTAACATCATCTCAATCAACATTGTTGATATATATAGTTAAATCTACTTTTAGTCAAAAAGAGAAAACTTTAAATTTACATTAGTTACATACATATTGAAATTCATTGAAAAAAGTATATAATATTATGTTCAAAATTATGGTAATACATGTAGTTGCTTTTCAATATACAAGTACATGTACATGTATCATTTAAAGTGGAGATTATGAAAGGGATCTAAAATAAGAACAATGTTCATGGTTTAAGTTACTAGCATCTACAAAATTACATGAAACAACAATTTTGAAGAATGTACATTGCAAATTAATACAAATTAAATGAAATAACAAACAACAACAAGAAGAAAAAAATGTATTTTGTGACTGTAACACATCTTAAAAAAAAATTACGAGATATTTTTTAAACATAAGTGATTAGCACCACATAAATGGACTGATTGGCAAGATCATTATTAACAATATTTATCAAAAGTTTTAATAGCTATACCCTGCAACACTAACGGCAAACAAAACTACATCATCTCAAAAGTCAAGAATTAAGCAGACTTCTTCAATTCTTTTTTGAGGGCCTTGAGATCAAAATACAAGTTACGATGTAGAAGTTCTGAGGCACACAGCATTCCCCCAAATAGGGCACCTGTCAACCCTGCTGACATGATGTCTTGACCTGTTTAAATTAGGATTGCAAATCATCTGTTAGTTTCATTACTTGCTCTTTAGAAACTTACAGATGAAAGAAGGTTCATGCATATGTACTACATCTACATGTTTGTCAAGTCACCTGTCAGGTAAAGGCCAGGAATATCTGTCTTAGCTCTCAGCTGTATGGAAGCCTCTGGTAGAAACCTACGCATGTTGTGATCTAGCCCATACATTTCTCCATCTTGGAATCCCAGGTAGTATTTGTTACTCAGGGGTGTCCCTACATCAAAGTAATCCACCTAAAATATAAAATATAAACACTAATAAATGGTTCTCAGAACTACTGGCAAGGTAGCGCAGATTTTTTGTAACCCCCCCCCCCCCCCCATCAGTGTTCCACCTTAATCGTTTCCACAGGGTGATCCGCCCGCCCTTTCCCTACTGTCCCTGTGCCTTTTTAATAGTTTCTTTAGAATGAACCTGCACAAGAACTTTGACCTGTTTGCTCATCTAGGAAATATAGCTCAGATCAAGCATCCAAAGCATGTCTGGTTGTGTGCATGCATCCATAGATGCATCATATATGCA